TTTTTTTTTTTTTTAATTTTGAGACAGGATCTGGCCAAGTTGTCCAGGCTGGTCTTGGATTTGGAAATTTGGAATCCTCCTGCCTCAGCCTTCAGAGTAGCTGGAATTACAGGCATGCAAGCACTGAACCTGGCTTGTCTTTTCTTAATCTCTCCTATCCTTACCACTTCCCAACTCTGGGCAACCCTCCCAGGCCCATTCTGTCCATAGTCCCATAGGTTGGTCCCATAGGTTTTAGATTTCACCACTGGGTCAGTCTGCCAAGTTCTTGCTGCCTTGTATTCCCAAGCATTCTGGGTGTTGCTTATAGGGAAGGGAGGTCTGTGGTCTGTAGGCCACCCTAATTCTTGTAACTGTGTGATCCACAGTAAGACTGATCTCGGGAGAAGTACCTGGGTAAGAGAGCCCTAGGCTTCCTTGGGCCTGATGAACACACTGAGCCATGGAACACAGGCCACTGATGCCTTTCTGCTCACTTCATGCTCTGGCCACACGGCAATGCCACATTAGTCACCCTAATGTTGGGACAATGCAGCAATTTTCTGCCTGTGGCTGCTCAAAGCCACTTGCAGGCAGGGCCTGCTGGGGCCATGCAGCAACATGTGTCCCATTAAAGCGTGCAGGCCGCCCGCAGGGCCATAGCAGGCCTCCTCCTTGATGGGGTCCAACACTGTTAGGACCCAACCTCCATCTTTCCTGCTGGGAGACAGACAGGGTGAGCCAGACTGCCACCCTCCCCTAGCCCTGGGCTTCCAGGCCGGGCAACTCAGGTGGAGGACCATTCCCCCAACAGGGAAGGCCTGGGAGTCTACCCAGGTGGGCCTTCTCAAAGTTCCAAGAATGGGCAGAGGGGGTAAGGAAGATCACTGATATTCAATGAGAGTTTGAGCCTGCACTTTAGCAGGTCCATGTCCCTGCACTCCTTTCCATTATTCAGATTGTTGGGGATCCGGGGAGCCCAGTGGAGGGACCTGGGAAGCTAAGCCCTACAGCAGGACTCTGATGCAGGCGGCCTGGTTGGTCCATGGAAGCTGAATTCCTGTAACTGTGTGATCCACAGTAAGGCTGATCTCAGGAGAAGTTCCTGGGTCCAAACCTAGACATTGCCTTTTATTGGGCTCCTCTGGCCTTAAGTTTTGGGGTTTGTTCAGTGAAGTTCGGGACAAGGCATCCATCATGGCTGCTTGTGAGGCTGAGAACCGAGTCGCGGCGGTTAAGGGGTTAAGCCCTGTGGTTGGGAAATGGACAAACTTGCCTCTGTGGGGCCTCAGTGTTGAGGAGGGAAAATTGCTGGGTGGGGAGTGCCCCCCCCAGCTCCATCAAGCCGGGGCATCTTCCGCTCCAACTGGTCTGCGCCCTGGGTATTGATGGGCTTCGCCCGGGCAGCAGCGTTCCCAGGCGCCAAGCAGCGTGGAGAATCGCGCCCCGCCCTCCCCCTTTCAGGCTGAGGCAGCGGCCACCGCAGTTTTGGAGCACTCTTCTGCCCGGGCCATAGCACCCCGGGCCAGATCCGGGCCCATCTGGTCCCCGGGAGGGCGACGGGGCCGAGGCCCTGCCGCGGGCGCTGGCACGCGCCAGGCAGCTTTGAAGCGCCTGGGCCAGCCTGGCCCGGACGCCTCCGTGCAACTCACTCTGGGCTTGGGGAGGTGGCGGCTGGTACAAAGGCGCTGCGGGGCGGTCGGGCTGCGCAGCCGGGCACAAAGGGGGCAGCCGAGTGTTAAAGGCATTGTGCAGGCCCCACAAAGAGGCGCCCGCGCCCGCCCCCTCGGGGCCAAACTCCGGGCGCCCCGCCGCGCTCGGGCTTCCAGCTGCTGCACATCTGCACAGAGACTCGGCGCGCGCCTCACCCCAGCGGATCTCCAGCCCGCTCGACACGCCCAGTCCTCCAGCCGCCGGGGTAGCGGGGGCAATTTGTCTTCTAATTACAGTCCTTCTCCGGCCCAACCTTTCAATCCGTCGCATTAGCAAACCAATGGTCCTGTGCCCAGCTCTCGAGGCCCTCAGCGGGGCGCCAGGCCCGCCCCCTCTCCAAAGTTAGGGCCGCCATAAAGCTGCCAGGCCCTCCTCTCCCGCACCCCGGCCCCCGCGGCTCTGGGGGCCACCACCCCTCCCAAGCGGGTGCTCAGGGATCCCAGCAGCGCTGGGTGGAGTCGTTCACGTGGGCGGCTTAGTGTCTCTTAGGCAGTGGAAAATTGACCGCAAAATGCGCTAATTCGCAATGTTCTGCTTTGGCTGCGGGAGGCCAGGCACGCGGTGAGGGCTGGGCGGGATTTTCAGCGGTCACGCTCCACTTAAAGGGCCTTCACCTCTGCAGCCCCACCTCCACCCCGCACCTCCCGCTGAGCCCTCTCCCCTGTAGTATGTCCTTTGCAAGAGTCTCCCCACCTGGGCCAATGTCCTCTACTACAGGAACCTCTCCCTCTCACCTTAAGCAACCCGGTTGGCCCAGTCCTCCACTCGGAGAGGGCTTCAGGTTGTGCAGGAGCGAGGCCAGAAAGGCCCCTCCATGTAAATTTTATCCTTGTTTTTCCTGGAGCTCTGAGACAGCTTCTTTCCCACCACCTCCACTTTAACTCCAGTTCCAATCCTCCTTCCAGGTAGCTGCTGCTCCCAATAAGTTAAAGCCAGATCTCTGCATGAGGCGAGATCACTCGAAAAGCCCCTTCCCGGAGACCCAGGTTGAGGACGCCTTTCCACCTCCCCACTCTGTTTGCAAGTCCTGCTTCTGGGCATCCTACCTACATCCTCAGGCAGGCCCTGCTCCCAACGCATGTGGAGACAGAAAAGGCATTTTCAGAGATGGGGAATGAGGCAGTGGTTCACCCTGTCTTCTCAGAGCAAGCAGGACAAATCGCTCTCTCGGGCTGCATGGAAGGTCATGGACCAACTTAGAAACCAGACTTACGCAAACCAGGATGTAGGCCACTAACTGCCTTTCCATCTTTAGCACCCAGTGTCCCCAAGGTGCCTGGAAAAGAGCACAGATCCAAGAGGAGCTTGGGGTAAACCCAGGTCCCCCTGCTCAACCAAGGAGAAAAGCTCCTTCTATAACAACTGATAGTTCTCAGGGCCTCAGTGGATTCTAGGGGGTCCCTCTTTTCTCAAGCTGGGAAGTTTTAGGCAAAAAGTAGCCTATGCTTTCCCACACTTGGGTTTTGTTTGTTTTGTTTTATTTTGTTTTGGTACCAGGGATTTAACTCAGTTCCCACCCTGTTTTGTCTCTAAAGAGACAGGGTCTTAGCAAGTTGCTTAGGGCCTTGATTTTGCTGAGGCTGGCTTTGAACTCACCATCCTCCTGCCTCAAGTCTTCCCAGCCACTGGGATTACAGGCATGCACCACCATGACTAGCCTGGTTTTCTTCAGTTTGGCAAGTCTGGAAACCCAGTGGGAAGGAGGTTTACAGACTATAGGACAAGAGCCCTAGCAGACATCCCACTGTAGCCTCTGAACCTGGGTGGGAACCCCTTCCTTTTTTGCACTTCCAGGTATTTAAACCAATATTAACTAACTGGTGAGCCCTGTGCAGGCACCATGGATGCAGGAAACTGGAGCGAAAAATGTGTTCTTCTCCTCTGCAGATGCATTTCAAAATAGAATAAAGTGATTGCTCCATATAATTAACTATTGGGACATAGCAAAACCCTGAAATGATGCAGCCAATTGTCTCCAGATGGGGTTGGAGAGGCTGTGATTGTTTAACTCTCTTTAGCTGTATTGGAACTCGGAATAGCTCAGCAGTCAAAGGCCCTTCAGAAGACAAAGGCTGGGACTCCAGTGAGTACATCAGCGCTGACCGGGCTGGCCCAGCTCAGGAAGAGTGAATTCAGAGAGACCTCCATTGTCCCAGTCTTTTATGTTTTCTCCCAGCTGGCTCTAATCTTTAAATATTTACCCGATCCCTTTGTGCACCTATGACTTATGCACTTTGGGCTGATGTGGCTGATGTGCTCGTAAATTACGCATCATTTACCCATTTCCAGACTGGAGAGAAGGGATTTTCATTCCTCCTGCTGGGAATGGCCAGAGGGGAGAGAAAACTTTTGGAAGACCAGGGCTGTCTCCTGGAGAGAACTACAGCAACACTGGATGGGCCCCTCCCAGATGCCCTTCTGGCCTCCACGTGGACACTGGACAGACCAGAGGCCTATGAATGACTAGGAGCTGCAGGAGGCCTGCTCTCTAAAAATGACTGCCCTGGCATCCATCTGCAAGGAGGAAGGAGAGAGCTTCCTGGACCCCCCCCTCCCAAGCTCCATGATCCTTAGGGCAGAGTGACCTTTCATCCTAGGAAGTTTGTATGAGGTGCATGTTGTCCACCTCTCAGAGGCCAAAATGCTTTGCCCCATCCATGTTCTGTCTCCTGCTTGCTCTGGACCATCCTCCCTTCCTATATTCTCTCTTGCTCATTAAAGCAACCCTGTCTTAACAAACAGAAGCCACTGTCCCTCTCCTCTCTCCTCCCCTCCGTTCTCTCTCTCTCCTCTCTCTCTTCTTTCTTCTCTCATTCTCTCCCCTCTTCCTCTCTCTTACTGAATAAAGAAAGACAGAAAGGAAGAAAGAAAGAAAAACAGAAGCCTGATTTTATCTCAGTCTGTGGTTTAACTTGGAAATGTCAAGGTCATTCTTAGGGTTGTCTAAATCAAGAGGAATCCCAAATTGGACCCAGGAAATAAAGCCACTTTAACCTGTGGTGGGATGGCAGGATTGGGGAAAGGTGGGGGCTGCAAAGAAACCCTCCTATTGAATGAGAAAGAACTCCCTTTGTGCTTGCCTAAGGGTAGAACAAAACACATTCAAATGCTTATCTACAAGAAAAAAATGCCAGCAATGCATCCCAGAGGGGCCTAGCCTTCCCTTTCTTTATTTTTGTGTGTTAGTTAGCATTTATAATCTTATATTTTTGTAGGTTTGTCTGGAGGGCAGGGTGCACAGTGGGTTTGATCAGATTGCTTTTCTCTGGAAGTGGTGTGTGTTTCCATACTTGTGTAGATTCGTTTACTTGCGCCCTCCCCCATCCCTGCCCCATGAGCAGGTCCTGATAGATTCAGCAACTTCTAAAAATTTCCTTCCTGCTGGGCATGGTGGTACATGCCTCTAATCCTAGCTACTCAGGAGGCTGAGGTAAGAAGTTCTCAAGTTTGAGGCCAGTCTCAGCAAGTCTCAGCAATTTAGTGAGACTGTACCCCAAAAAAAGGAAGGAAGAAAAAAGAAAAAGCTGAGTAGTACAGCACCCCTGGGTTCAAGCTCCAATACCAGGGAAAAAATTCCCTTTCCCTCGTCCTACCTGGCAGGGGGCTGCCTCCCTTCCTCTCATCTCCAAGATTCAGTGTCAGGGGAGGTGATGGGCAATGTGGCTGAGGTTTTTGAGTTGCAAGTTGTTCTAAGCACCCAGAGTGACAGCATTGAGTCCTTGGGGATAAATTAGCCCCCTAAGACCAGAGTGGAGAGCAAATGCCTAGAGCCAGAGGAGGTGCGTTCCCAGTCTGAGTTGATTTTTTTCCCAGGGGACCAAGTTCCCTCCCTAAAGGGAAGGTACATTGAGCACCCTCTAGTGGCTCCTAGGTGTCCTGGCACAGAGGGGAGGTCCTGGTCTGGAGGAGGCCAGGAGAAATGGTGGCAGTTCCCACTCAGCCCCCAGTAACTGTAGCATGCAGGCCTACTTCCCATATGACACAGCAACTCCATGTCTTTAGTTTTAAAACACTGTATCTCTTTCCAATTCCCATCAACCAGCAAATGGCTCCTGAGCATTATTTCAACTTGATACTACTGAGCTTTAATAGAATTAGTATCAATTCCATGACAGTGGAATCAGGATCTCCATTTTACAGGAAATTGAATTCATAGGATTGTCCTGCACAGAGTCAGAGTATTGGGGCCTGGGTTTGCTGGCCCAGGCTCTCCATCCACGTGCTCAGACATCAGTGCTCTTGCCAGGATATGCAGGGACAGAGGAGAGATGGGTGGCTCAGATGCAGGGTTCACTGATCACTGACCTTGATGCTTTTTTACCACCACCCTGGGCTCTAGCCTCCCCCAGAGCCTGTCCCCATCCTGTCTCAGACTATCTTTTGCTTTTGCCTTTCAAATCCAGTGCCATTCCTCCCTCCCTCTCTGCCTGGCTGGCTGCTCTCATTTTCAGCAGCAGGCAGGCACATCCAGTTCCTGAGGGCCCCAAGGCTTAACCCCAGCATCTTTTCCTCAAAGCTTCCCCATCCTGCAGCTCTCTCACCCACAGGCCTCCCCAAGGTGGTCTCTCACCCCATCCTTACTTTGATTCTTTCTCATGTCCACCTCTGCACTGTTTATCCTAACCATTTACTTGCTTGCCTTTTCCTTTCATTGCCACTCTCTGAGCTCCCCAGGGACAAAAGCATTTAGTCTTTTAAAAATGAAGTGCAAGCCAGGCCAAAATGGTGCCTTTCTGTAATCCCAGCTACCTTGGAGGTTGAAGCAGGAGGATGAAAAATTTAAGGCTAGCTGGGCAACTCAGGGAGACTTTGTGAAAATAAAAGGGACTCAGTGGTAGAGTGCTTGCTTAGCACACCTGAGACCCTGGCTTCATCCCCACCACACACACACACACATACGCGAAGGCCAGGGACAAGAGAGGTCGACCAGTGGGTATTGCTACCGTGGGATGGGAGTAATTCTTGTGTTCTGGGGCATAGCAGGGTGAAGGTACTGAACAATAAATAACACACCACAAACCTTAAAATAGAAGAGAGGAATGGAATTGATAAAAGTTTAGGGAGGGATATGCTAATCACCTTGAGTTGATCCCTACCCAAGGTAGATAGGAACAAAAACTGCATGGAACCTCACATATGGGCAAGTATGATGCGTCAATCAAAAACAATAAAACGAGAAGGGTAATTTCTTATTTCAACAGTAATATATGGTCATCGTTGACGGGGTGGAAACTACAAAAACCTACAAGGGCAAGAGAAGCGGCCCAGAGCGGGGGCACCTCAAGGTGTTTGCAGTTACATAACGTTAGCCTCCATTCCATCATTTCCCAGGCTCCGCGCGCGGCTCCCCCGGGTGAGTCAGGATCTCACGGTCAAGTTTTGCATCGTGCTTTCCAGGCGCTGCAGCCCACCCAGTGCACTCCCGCCACCGGGGGGAGGAGGGGGCGGGCCCCGCGCCGATCGCCGCGCGCGGAGGTAGGTCTAGGGACCATGCGGGGCCGGCCTTCTAATTTCAAGAATTTG